ATATACACACACACACACTCCAAAAAAGAGCATTACCGACGGCCAAAACCTTCGGTAATCCGTCGCTAATAGGCTTTAGCGACGGAATTGCAACAGACCAAAATATGTTTGTATGTTCTTGTCGCTAATTGTTTGTAAAGGATTACGGATGGCTACGAAAAATTTTAGCGACAATTGTTTCCGTCAGGAATTAGTATCCTATCACTGACGGAAATATTTTTTGCAACGGATTACCGACGAAATGTGTTGCAACAGATTACCGACGAAATAACTTACTAACGGATTACCAACGGAATCTACTAATGGATTACCGACAGGATCTCATAATAACTCATTAACAGATTACCGACAGATTTTCTGTGACAGATTGGTGACGGACTTTGGCATTATAAAAAAAATTATAAATTCATGAAAAAAATTAATAATAAAATCTTATAAATACATTAAATATATATTTTAAAACCAACAAATATAAAAGTAAAAAAGTTTCAATATTTGACATACCTTAATTCCATAAATTTCAATCCATATTCGTCATCTAATGCATAACACTAAAAAATAGTAGTAATCACCTTTTTAAAAAGGAATCAAAAGTTTCATCTATAATTCTCATGACCTAAACAACCAATGGAGAGTATCCTTCTTTATTAGCTCACAGATTCCACACCTGTCATTCACAGTTGTTAGCTAGAGAGATATTTATATATTGTCAAATACCATAAATGCCCTCCAATGTTGACAATAAAAGGGGATAAATAAGGAAAAATGAATGATATTAACAAGTAGCAATTATGATAATGCGTAGAAACATGTGATTTTAAGTATAATATTCCTCCACATGAAGTTTGAATAGAAAAGAGCTAATGATGAGAAATAGCAACGCACTTTTCTTAAATTCTTCATAATAGTTACATACTTTCAAATAATTAGAACTTATATGAAACCATTTTTGATTTTTGCATGATTATATAACATACTTTAAGTTTTTACTCATAATAGCAATTTGCTATTGTCATAATTCCTGATTACAACTTATATGAAAGTAGATTACTACATCATAATGTATGATGCCATAATCGAGAACTTTTGTAAAGTACATTGCTATTTCTCACAGTTAACCCTTAAAAATATCAAATTATTTCAATATTATGGGATAAACATGCATAATAGGGTGGTTTACCACTTCTAGATTTTCAACAGAAAGATGGTCAGGATTCATATATGCAGGTGGTCGTGGAGTTGAAGTAGAAGCAACCTTGTGCATTATCATTACCTCTGCCACACAGATTGCCCTTTGTGATCCAGTCATTGTCACTTTCCTGCCACAAACTCTCAAATCATATATACTATAATGTAACGGTAAAAATGCTCATTTAGCCTCTTTCAAACAGTTTAATTAATCCAAAAAAGAAACAATGCATGTCACATGTCCCAGACATGAAATCACCTCTTTTCAGAAATCATGATCCTGGCTCTCCTGATCTGACTGATTTTCATGATATTCCTACCACCATAGCCCACAACAATCCCTATATGCTCATCTGCAACACCAATATTTATTTTGTAAATTCAACAATACTATGAAAATTATAATATAAATCGATTAAAAGAAGGCGAAGTTGTTTTCAAACCGGTTGTTCTGAAACCTTCCACCACCCCCATGTGGTCCATTGGGGGCATTGTAAGGTGTTGTGAAACCAAAAAAAAAAAAACAAAAAACAAAATAAGCATATTAAATATTATCAACATAAAGTTAAGGGGCATATTGTGTGAAATATCAACGTAGTTTTAATTATGTAAGTGGTTATCATGTGATTATTTTAATCATGTGTCATCATATTAATGATGATGTAGCAATACAAATGCCAAATAAGCATTCAACAAATACCAAATAACAAATAAGAATCAACAAAGTTTGTAAGGATTACCTCCTACATGCAAAGCGAATGCTTTAGTTTGAAATTTTTTATATTGACCTTCATATCTTAAGTCTTCTAATTTTGTTAGATTGTGTAGTTTTTATTTGGTTTTATTTTTTGTACTACTTATGAAAACTTATTTTTTGTCAACAAATCATACAATTTATTTTTCAAACTTCTTTTGGTTAAATAGTCTAGTTTTTATTTGGCTAATTTGGGTTATACCTTATTATGTTAATTTCATTAGTGATAATTACGTTACAAATAGTTTTTCTAATAGCTTTTCATTTTTTAAATAGAAATAATACAAAAAATATAACTAAACAGATTTCAGAAGTTCAAAGATTTAGGAGAATAAGATCAATATTGTAACACCCGTGTTCCGGGTTGGTTAAGCTTACTTTTATCTAGGGCCAAAGATTAATTTTTGGAGGAGACTTTGTGCCTCAACGTGGTGCAAGGATGCCCACGACATGGTAATGGATTGGTGGACCGCATGTTTATTTGGACCGCCACAGCGTGGCAGCTTTTCTGGCCCAAGCCCATGATTCTTTTAGGGTTTGCTTCATATTTAAATCCCTCTAAGTCATTTCTAGGGTTCATTTCCACCTTCCAACACCCTTATACCTTAGAGAAACCTTAGCCCTTATTCCCTTGGTGATTTGTGGCCTTTTGGGAGCATTTGATAGATTAGAGAATAAGAGAATAAGTGGGGGAAGGTCCTCTATTGATGGATCTTGCAAGGAAGCAACACTATCATCATATCTCATAGCTTCTGGATCTTTGTAAGTGGCAAAGGCTCAATCTTTTTGGCTTAAAGTGGCTAGATCTAGAATAGTGTCTCATGTTCTTCATGTTTGAGCAAGTTTGAAAGGAAGGAACTCATAAAGATGGAAACTTAATAACTCTCTTGTGTCCCAAGATAATTATATGTAGTAGATCTAGACTTTGGTTGGAGTTCTTATCATTGCATGAGTTTTTGGGCATTTGTTTAGCTTATTATGACCTAAAATGGATTCTAGACATGTATTGGCATGCGTGTCTATAACACTTTCATCTTTATGATAGATCTGATATTAGAAAACCCTTCTAGAGTGGTTGGGTTAAGGTATTTCCATATTAAGGGCTTAATGTTTAAGACAGGGTGGTATTTGTCTTATATTGGACCTAAGGTTAGAGATCTTGATCTCTTTGGGTGTCTTAATGGATAAAACTAGAAACTTTATCCATTTAGACCATATAATAGGCTACAACTGAGCTTTGGAGCTCTTGGAGTCGAAGAAAGCAGCTTAATCTATTAAGTAGCTGGAAACCCAGCGCCCACGACGTCACTATAGGTCGCCATGACATGGCGAATGGGAATTGCCCGTCTATTCAATCGAAGGAGGGCCACGACGTGGCGGTTGACTGAATTCCACATTGACCGTCGACTTTGACCGTTGACTTTTGGTATGGGTTAACTTTTAGTCAAATTTCTATTTTTAGAAGGTATACTTTAGGTATACCTTGTGTGGATTGTTAAGAGGTGTTTAACACCCATCTTTTGGCGGTGAGAGCTGTTAGTTGTGGTTGGCGTGACATTGAGCTGGGTTTTAGTCGGCTTTGTAATTCAGGTGAGTCTCTTCACTGTACTCGTTGGTAAAAGGCACCAATGTCGGCCCACTGGATTATGTTTGTAGGGTGATAGTTGTCCTTGTGACACTTGCTGATATGTTTGTATGTGCTTGATTGTATTTGTGAATCTTGTTGATATTACTACATGTTTTATGTATGTGGGGTTGATATGGACCCGATATAGCTACATGCTGTTACATAGAGTCATTATGGACTCGGTGTTGATACGGACCCAGGGGTTGATACGGACCCGACATAGCTACGTGTTGTGACATCGAGTCATTATGGACTCGGGGTTGATACGGACCCGGGGGTTGATAAGGACGCGACACAACATGTTGTTATATTTATATAAGTATATGTTGTATGTGGTATCTTAGGGGAACTCACTAAGCTTTGTGCTTACGGTTTCATGTTTATGGTTTCAGGTATTTTCGGTTCTAAAGGTAAGGTTCTGACATGACTGCACTGCCTCCCCAGAGTTTCCGCATTGACTACTTGTGATCTTTACTATGATGTTTACATAATGTAGTCACTTTGATTTTTTTTGGAAAAAATTATTTGTATGGCTTATTGTTTTTAAAATGAAAATTTTACTCTGAACTTTTGGGATGTTACAAATATGAAAAAGTAAAAGGAATATATTCTAATTGATAAAGCATTTACTTTACATGTAGAATGTCTAGAGTTCAAACAATCTTCTTTTATCTGGTACTACTTGAACGCTTATTTGGCAGTATACTTATTGCCACATCATCCTCAATAGAATGCCACATAATCAAATGGTAATAAGTTACCAATTCTCCAAGTTAACTATTGCTATAACCAACAAAAATTTTGTATGCATGTTGCTATTACGGCTAAAAATTAAAGTATACTACCCATATAAGTAAAAGAAGCAAGTTCCATTGCTAGTTCCCATAATTTTTCCTAAAGTTCAGCTAAAAGAACAACATATTTGCAAACAACGTAATTGAACTGTATGTTATGTATATGAAATCAGTAACAGAAAAAGAAGCATATGGAAATAGGGGCTCAATGGACTGAAGATAGTAGAGATCTTCAGATAATTTAAATAAAATCAGATTAACAGCTTGCACCAGTTGTTGTAGGGTTCTAATCACTATTACCAGCCTATCATTTAATCCAATATAGTTGTGATCCTGAGGGGAGATCTTAATGTTAGCTCCAGAATCTTCAATGAAGGACCTGTAATAACATATCAAAAATGAAAGTTTTCACCACATTAAAATGGCAAAGCAATAAATCAAACTTGGTGTCAGGAGCATTCTTACCTAATCATGGATCCAACCTTTCCAATGATTCCACCACATGAGCTATTGGGTACAATTAGTCTGGCATTTGTTCTTGGCTCACCCTCATCACCATCTTCAGCATAAAATAATAAAGAATATGTAATATTTTGTATGTTGATTTTACATGGGGGATAAACTATAGAAACATGTATATTGTGTTATGACAATTACCTCATTAAGCAACTTAGCTAGGATAAGTTCAGCGGCTTCAAGAACGTCGTCGATTGTTCCAGACACCATGATAACCATATTAGATGTTCCTGGAAATATTCATAATTGGGTAACAACTGAATCCTTGCATTGGATCTTGATTGGAAATCAGAAATTGTTGTTCTACCCTTTCCAATACTTGAACCAGCTTCAACATTTTATGCAAGAAACCTCATATATGTTGTCTCTATACCATCTTGAGAAAAAAATTAAAATTTTGTTAGTACTCAAAGTCTGTCTCCTGTGAATCTCAACAAATTTTTTCTATCAAAAACATAATCTGCCATTCAATCCTACATATATGTTGTAGCACATATAATCTATGGATCTTGAGACAAGTGTTGAAACTTCTTATAGCAGGAATATATGGAATATAGATTTTTCAAAGTCCATTTTTTGCTTTTGAAACAACACATCTATTGCACAATTATTTATAGGTTGAATTACTAGAAATACGTTAGATTTATCCATAATATGTTAGCTGCTAAATTTTATCTAATGTTTTGCTTTGAATTTATTGAAATCTAAACATGTTAAATCTGTTTTTCCTCAGAGTATTTGTGCATGGGGGGGGGGGGGGGGGCATGAAGTTATGGAGATCAGGACAAGGAAGATCCGTGGTCCTTTTCAAATAGTTGTGTTGTTGTATATCTTCGACACACATATCTACCATACTTAATATATTTATTAAAAATCTAATTACCATACATGTCATAAATCATCAAAAACAAATCAAGCTCCATGTCGTCAATGAAAACACATAATTTGAAGAAATGTAACAAATAATCAAGGTTTCAAAGTCCGCGTACGCCTTTTATATGTCTAGTTAAAGAGAATGACAAACACATGACATTAGGGTCAAATAAGTAGATCAATTAGGGTGAAAACAACAAGAAATTATAACAATACTAATAATACCTGACAGAGGAAGTGACTGTGATTTGTGAGTCAGAGATTTAGCCGCCGGAGCCCCCTCGTTGGATACCATTGCGGTAGTGCGTGTTTTCATCTCTAGACGTACAGAGATCAAGAAACCTTAACGAATTCCATAAGTCAGAGCGTTGGCGCCTTCAATTCCGTCGAGGATGGAGGCGGGAAGAGAGCGAGAGCCCGGAGGCGATGCTTCATGTTGTCGACCTTCGTTCACAGTTATGGGAGCTCGTTTGGCGTACTAGCAGAAAAGCTAGCGGATAGCTGAAAAGTTAGTCGATAAAAAATGTCGTTTGGTAAAATCGGATGAAAAGCTGGCTGAAAAATATAAAATGACACATAATGACATTTAAAAAATGTGTTTTTATAATTAATTAGGGAATATATTTGGAAAATTTTTAAAAAAAGCTCCTAAAAAGCTAGCCTAAAGTAGCTTTTTAAAAAGCTAGCTTATAAGCTACTTTTTGGCTTGCCAAACATGACAAGTTAAAAAGGCTGGAAAAACAAGCTAGATTATCAGCTAGCTGTGGCGTGCCAAACATAGCCTTAGGTTAAGCATGTTACAACTTCCCGTACATCTTCTAAGATTGGCACGCCAACTTCTAAGTGGTAAGTGTTTGGCACGCCACAACTAGCCTAAGATCAGTACATCTTCTAAGATTGTCTCTAAAAAAAATGGTAAATGTTTATTGTGTAACAACGTGAATTTCCAAAACAATTTTTGATTTTCAATCATAATAAATTTCATAAGAACAATTTCAAAACCCATTGTATCACATATTATCTCAATAAA